CATAACCATATGCAATGTCCCAACCTCTCTACAAAAGCTCCTCTAACAGGTTGCATTTAAAGAAGCGTAGTGTTCAAAATGAAGGAGAGGAAGAGTCCCACTGCTCTCTGCCCTAGTCAGACCATACCTGGAACATCTTGTTCTGCGAACCACATTTTAGGAAGAACATTAATAAACTGAAAAGTATACCAAAGACAGTGACTGAGACCTCCAGATTATAGGAATTGCTGAAGTTAAACTGGAGAATAGAGAATGTAATAGCAATCTTTAGTTCTGCCCCAAGGTATAGGGGGGAGTCTCCAGAGATGCGAATGTAGGCTTAATTGAAAGAAAAAATTTCCTAACAATTAAAGCTATCAAGAAATGGAATGGGCTATCTCAAGAGGCTGCACCTCTCCTGGGATTTTCAAGCAAAGGTGGAATAACCACTTGTTAGGATGTTACAAAATGCTCTCCTTATGCACCTGCCTCTTTCAAGTACCACCTTCTTTAAGAGGCCTTCAACAATTCCCCTTCATTTCATATTTATTCTGTCTGTATCCTGTATTCCTTGTGACATTATGTTCCATCTCCCAGTTATATAACACCTGTAAAATACTGTTATTTTAAAAATAGGCCTTTGTTTTGAGGAGTTTAAAGTCATTAAAAGAACTTTTCCATTTCCTGAAGATAATTTGGCATGTTCTTCTCATGTTCAGTTCTGGACACAACTTGTCATCCATTCATCCTGTATGTACCACATATTTGAAAACATGCTGTATCCCATTAGAATATTAGCTTCTTGAGTGCAAGAAGTATCTCATATTTATCTTTACATCCTCAATGGCTAACACCTAGTAGACACTAAAATGCTATTGGATAGGAAGAATTTTTGTTGGACTAAATGGTCCAGTTTCAGATTCCATAAACTTGTGTTTGAAAAGTGGAAATTAATGCTTCCTGTACTTAGCATAGTTCTTGGCACATATTGGTACATATTCAGTAAATGCTTTTTCATTCATTCACTAACATCACAGAAGTGTTATTAAGAAAGTACTTTGTAAGCTACACTATTGTATAATTTGATTTCTTGGGCTGTCACTTTGCCTATTGTCTCTCTTTGTAAAGTTGTTAAGGTGGTGGGCCCCTTCTGTCCTATAAGGTGCTAGGTGGATGATAAAGGTAACGTTTCTGTACAATGCAGTCACATTACAGCAAGGAAATGCCTGAGAGGGAAGGAATCAGTGTTCAGCTGTCTCAGACACTGGCCTTTCTAGATTTGGGCTTTTTCCTTCTACCTTGTTTCCCCACATATTTCTAGGCTCTCTCTCTCCAGCTCTTTTCTCTCTATTCCAATTGAGACAAAATTAATTTCTCAAAAGCACTGTTGTCCTTAGAGTATTAAGCCAAAAGAAATGAAAAATAAAATAGTGGTTTACGTCTACCTCGTAGAAGTTTCCTGAACTAAATCAAATCTAGCTTCAGAATGGCTCAGTTCATAAAGAGTTTACCAGATATCAGTCCTCATTCCTCTTGATGACTTCCATTCAGAGTGGTGTGAATGTTTCCTACACGGATGACGGCCAAGGAAACTTATATACCTAGCCTGAGACCAATGCATGCTGTTGCTGTTGCTAATCCTTTGTCCCACCCCAACCCACACAACTGTATTATGACAGTGGGACTTTGAGAGCATAATGTGCTTGAAACACTCTGGTCACATTTCCTCAAAGGGAGAAAGAGAAGCAGATGGTTAGATACAGCTAGAATACATCAAAAAGTTTCTTTTTATCCAACTACTGTATGTGTATTAGCAATTTTTCTAGGTTACTAATGACTAGTTTATTCAGCTAATCAATAAGCAAGCATTTGTGAAGTGCCTGATATGTTTCAGGGATTTTCCCATGTGCTGGAGATAGAAAAGCAAAAGTCCAACAGTTCCGGACCTCAAGGAACTTATATTTACGTTTTGATGGAGGTGGGTGGGACATGTAAATGTATATATACTCATACGTATATACATGTGTATTCACTATATATGTGTATAGTTATACACAATACACACACACCAGATTGGTGAGGGGCAGAGATCTAGTAGCTGTGGGAATCAAGAAAGACTTCATGCAGAAGGTAGCTAAGTCTATAATAGTCTTGACTTGAGCTAAATCTGTAAAGAAACTAAGGATTCTAAGGGGCAGAGCTGAGGAGGGAGTGCTTTCCATAAATGGAGGATTGTTTGTAAAAGACAGATGAAGGGGGCAGCTAGGTGATGCTGTGGATAGAGTACCGGCCCCAGAGTTAGGACCTGAGTTCAAATGTGATCTCAGATACATAACACTTGCTGTGTGACTCTGGGCAAGTCACTTAATCCCAATTTCCTTACCAAAAAAAAAGAAAAAAGAAAAAGATGAAGGAAGCTGGAGTTTCATGTGTGAAGAACAGTAATAAATCCACTTATTAGTAGACTACTAGACTACCTGAAGAAGACTAATAAGGCTGAAAAAGTCAGGTTGTCAAAGGTGCCTGGGGTCTGCTTACTCTTGCTGTTATTCAGTAGTGTCTAACTCTTCATGACCCTATGGACCACACTGTCCATGGGGTTTTCTTGAGCAAAAGACACTGGAGTGGTTTGCCATTTCCTTTTCCAGCGGATTAAGGCAAACAAAGGTTAAGTGAATTACCTAAGTCACATAGCTAGTAAGTGTCTGAGGCTGGATTTGAACTCAGGTCTTCCTGACCTGGCAGGTGGCAGTTAGGTGGCACAGTGGATAGAGTACTGGGGCTAGACTCAGGAAGACTCTTCATCCTGAGTTCAAATCTGGCCTCAGACACTTAGCAGCTGTGTGACCCTGGGCAAGTCACTTAACCCTGTTTGCCTCAGTTTCCTCATATGTAAAATGAGGAAATGGAAAAATGCTCCAGTGTCCTTGACAGAAAACCCCCAAAAGGGTCACAAAGAGTCCAATACAATTGAAAAACGACTAAACAACTTCCTGACTTCCAGACCCAGCACTCTATCCACTGAGCCACCAACTGCCACCGGCTTACCCTAGACTGATGAAATTTATAAAAGGTTCCAACTCCCCTTGTCCTTGAATACAATGTAAGTATATGTATTTGTGTGTCTGTGCACGTGTGTATGGCTTTATCTTGCTGCCGTCTAGTTACAGACGCATGTATGCTTTGCATTCAGGAGGACAAAAAGAGGTGGAACCCTTTATAGGTGCACCTACTGGTGCGAGATAAGGGTGTGTGCGTGTGTGCGTGTGTTTGTGTGTTGTCTACTCAAGAAGACTAAGGGAGCTGGAACCCTTTGTAAACACACTAGTTTAGGGTAAGCAAGACCCCAACATCTTTGACAACCTGACTTTCCTAGCTCCAGTGCTCAGGAACCACTAAGTAGCTTGGCAGCGACCAGCTCCCGGTTTGATGTCATCCTGGTTCAGGAAGGAAGGGCTCTATGCATCTATGTCACAAATGGCCAGATAGTCTTACTGTATTGTTTTTATCATTCAGTTATGGGAAGCAGTGTAGCTTAATGGTCTCATGAGAGCCAACCTTAGACTCAGGAAGACCTGGGTTCAGGTCCTGCCACTGACACATAAAGCAATAGGATACTAGGCAATTTTTCAGTACCTCAAGCAACTCTCTTAAGGATTATAAACTACAGAGGTACAGAGGTGCAGATCTGCATTTGTTAAGGGAGTTTCTCCACTGAGATTCCCCATACCAATTAAATCATAGGTCCAGTCCAAACAAAAAGTTTGGATTAAATTAAAATCCTTGTAAGCATGTGCTATGTCCTTCTTCCTTATCAGTCAGACAGGCCAAGAAGGCCACCCTGGGTAATACCATTGACCAAGTGAATAACACTTATTATTGCTGTTATCATTTATGGGTAAATGGAAAAAGCAATTTGGCTTTGAAATAGGTTAACTATAGAAATTTCAAATTCAAGACAAATTTCACTACAATGTGGAGATAGAAAAAGCACTGAACTGCAAGACAGGGAACTCAAGGCCGCCTGTGGCTCTGCTGTGTGACCTTTGTCCAAGTAATTTCATTTCCCTGGGCATCACTCTCCTTATTTGTAAAATGAAGAAATTGGACTAGATGATTGCTAAAGTTCCTTCAGGTCCCTTTCTAGACTCCGATTTTGACCTAAGTAACATTCTTGGGTAATTAGTAACCTAATGGCCCCCACAATATTAGGTGACCAGTTTCAAACAAAGTTGAAACCATTTTGGTTTCATTTGGCATCAAGCATGTTGTCACATCTTTCAGATCAAACAGTTGAAGAGCAGCTAAGCAGCAATTAGGGACCTACACTGAGTTTGCTCTAAGGAGAATATTAATTAGCAATGCTTTATTCTATTATTTCCATTACATGCTCATATAGAGGTTAGGAAAAGATATAAATGTAAATCACCTGACTGCATAAATTAGCAGGTTTCCCTCCACCAATGAATTATCAGTGCTTCAGTGTCAAACTTAAACCCTAGGATTATCAAGTAAGAGATGTCCTACAAATACAAAAACAGAACTCATCTCCCAGACCCTCACTCCCCAAACTCTCCCCCTTCCTTCAAACTGTTGTTATAGTTGTTTTTCGGTACTGTCCAACTCTTTGTGACCCCTTTTGGGGTTTTCTTGACAAAGACACTGGAGTGGTTTGCCATTTCCTTCTCCACCACATTTTACAGATGAGGAAACTGAGGCAAACAGGGTTAAGTGACTTGCCTAGGGTCACACAGCTAGTAAGTGTCTGAGGCCAGATTTGAATATAGGAAGATGAGACTTCCTGACTCCAGGCGTGACACTATCCATGTGCCACTTAGCTGCCCCTCCTCCAAGCTACCCTAGTTCTTATTGAGGGAACTAAACAATTAAACAAATGTAAATCTTTTGTCTGAATGGCTGTTCTACTAAGATGAATACATTTTTTATTTCAGTCTTCAATCCACACAGCTGAAAGACTCTCCATTTCTATCATTCAAACACCTGTTCCTTGTAGCTGTTTGCAAATCTCAAAAAGCTGAATAACTTTGCCTTTTATTTTTATTTCATCTGCATGTTTTATAATATTCCAGATCCAGGCATTCCAAGATCGTGTCCTATTTTAAAGTTACTATGATGATGTTTATACTGTTCAATTTTTGCTCTAAAATAAGTAAGTCTCTTCTTTTGAGGGGTGAAGTGTTTCCATATAAAGTATGCTTCTTCTTGTCCATTTTGTTAAGGGTTCTTTAAAAAAAAAAAAGAATAATACAACTGTTAGTAATGTGGTATCCAGCAGCATATTCTATCCACATGTGATAACAGGCAAGTTCTGACCGATAATTTAGATTAAAACCCTTGACTAGTTCATCACATTAATTGTTACATTACATTAATTGAAATTTTAAACTCATATTAAATGTGACCTGATATTTTGTAATTCACATTAAGTGGAATTTCACATTATTCAAACTTGAATTGATTGTTACCAATATCCCCAGTTTACTTTGTATAAGCCTCAGTAGGGAGAGTTCAGTAGAGTAGTGGTTTCAAAGAAGGAAAATCATCAAGGAAATTCAATACAGGGGCTGTTGCAGAGGAGCTAAGCTATGAAGGGACTTTATTTTTAATTTTTTTTTAAGACAATTGGAGTTAAGTGACTTGCCCAGAGTCACACAGCTAGTAAGTGTCAAGTGTGTGGTCTGAGGCCGGATTTGAACTCAGGTCCTCCTGACTTCAGGGCTGGTGCTCTATCCACTGCGCCACCTAGCTGCCCCATATGAAGGGGCTTTAAAGACAAGCAAGTCCAAACCCTTCATTTTACAGATTAGGAGATTGAGGCCCAGAGGCATTAAGTAATTTGCTCAGATCACACAGCTAGTAAGTGCTTTAGGTGGTAAGTACTCCAAGTTCAGTGTTCTCTCTACTGTGTTATGCTGAATTAAGATGGAACCATACAAATAAAAAGCTTTTAGAAATGAACCTGGGCTTACTTTTATTTTTTAAAAATCTGCAAGGCTATCTAAAGTTGCAGCTGTGGCTACCTTTTGTAAAACAAACACAAAGTGGTTAAGTATACGTTGTCCATTTAAGTAATTTTTTTAAAAGTAAGTTTTTATTGATATTCTGTTTGTTTCTCCATCATTATCTCAAGTATCTTTCTCTCAAGCCTTGCCAAAAAGCCACTCCGTGACAAACAGAACTTTTTAGAGAGAAAAAAAAAAAATCAGCATAACTGACCATTACATTTACAAGTTCTGAAAACATATGCAAATGTCTGAGACCCATGGATCTCCCATCTCCACAAAAGGGTAGTTGAGGGGTTATCTTCTCATATTTCTTCATTCGAGTATTGATTGATTTTTAATTTTGTTACATGTTTTTTATTTTTGGTCTTAAGTTCTTTCTATTTAAGCTGTTGTAGTTACTTATATCGTTTCCTTTGTTCTGCTCACTTTGCTGTGCATTAATTATATAGATCTTTCCATGCTTTTCTGTATTCATCTCACAAGTCATTTCTAACAGCACCATAATATTCCATTACATTCATATACTGAAATTTGTTTAGCCATTCTCTAATTGTTGGACATCTACTTTATTTCCCAATTCTTAGTTATTACAAAAAGTGTTGCTATAAATACTTTGGAGTACATAGGACTTTCTTATCAGTGTCATCCTGGGGGCATAAAACCAGTAATGGAGTTATGAGTAAGGTTCAAAAATTTTCGTCACTTTATTTGCATAATTCCAAACTGCTTTCCAAAAAGGGTGTACCATTTCATAGCTCCAACAATGTATTTATTAGTGTGCCTATCCTTCCACAATCCTTCCAACATAAACTGTTGCCATTTTTTTTTGTCACGTGCTGATTTGCAGGGTAAGAGGTAAAACCTTAGGGTTGTTTTAATGTGCATTTGTCTTATTAGTGATTTAGGGCATTCTTTTATGTGGTTCTGAACACTTCACAGTTCTTCTGAGAATTGTTTTTTCATTTCCTTTGATCATTTTTCTATGGTGGAATATTTATTACTTATGCACACACATAATTTATGTATTTTAGATGCCAAACCATTTTCACCCATCTGACTGCTTCCCTTTATCTTTGGTGTATTAATTTTGTCCATGCAAAAACTTTTGTTTGAAGTAATCAAAATTATTATATATTATTTATAATTACCTGTTTCTTGTCTAAGAATAAATCTTCTACCCATAGCTGTGAGGGGTTTATAGTTTTTCTCTTCTAATTTTTGTACAGTATGATCTTTAATATTAAGACCACATGTCCATTTAGAATTGCATTGTGGAACCTGGCTCAGGGTATTGGTTTACGCCTAATTTCTGACCAACTGCTTTCCAGCTTTCCCAGCAAGTTTTATCAAATAAAGAATTTTTCCTAGGTATTTTTCCACTTCATCAAACACTGGGCTGTTTAGCTGCATCATTTCTGAATCTGTCTTACCAAGTATGTTCCATTCATCTATCTATTCTTTAAAACCAGATGGTTTTGATGACTGCTGCTTTATAATATAGCTTGAGATGTGCAAGTGCCATTCCCCCTTCATTCCTATTTCTCTTAATCATTTCCCTTGACATTCTAGATCTATCATTTCTGCAAATGAATTTTATTATTTTATCAAGGTCTAAAAAGTATCCTTCAGTTAATGGCATTAAAAATGTAAATTATTTTTGAAACCTCAATTGGAGTCATGAAGAGTTGGACATAACTGAAATGACTGACCAATTGTTATTTTTATTATATTGGCACAGCCCAGCTATGAGCACTAAATATTCTTTCAGCTATTTAGGAAGTTCTTTATTTCTTTAAGGAGCATTTCTAATTGAATGTATACAACTTTGTGTGTGTGTGTGTGTGTGTCTGTGTGTACTTTCGGAGCTTCATTCCCACAGATTTTATGCATTTTGTGATTTGCAATGGGATTTTCCTTATTAATGCTTATTGGGCTTTATTATGTAGAAATGCTATTGATTTTTGAGGACTTATTTTGTAATCTGAAACTTTGCTAAAGCTGTTGTCTCAATTAGTATCTTTGCTAATTCCCTAAGATTTTCCAAGTAAACCATCCTATCAGCAACAAACAGGGATACTTTCATCTACTCTTTACTCCTTTATTTCCCAAGTGTCTCATTGCTATTGTTAGCATTCCCAAAAGCATATCAAATAATTACTAGGGATAATGGGTATCTGTCATTGTGCATTCCCATTGCATATGATACTTTTTGGTTTTAGATAGATGCTTGTATTTAAAAAAAGGAACCCCTAAGCATCAAAGTTTGTAGTTTTGTTTTTTTTTAAAAGTACAAAAGCGTGCTTTGTCCAAGGCTTTTTCTGCAACTATTGAGATGATCATGTGGTTTTGGATGTTTTGCTTTTTAAAAATCATTATGTTGAACTATCCTTACATGCCTAGTATAAATTCTACTTGATTATAATGATTTCTTGGATAAATCGCTATATTGGACAGTATTTTGTTTAAACTTTTTGAATTGATGTTTATTAATGATATTGGCCTGTAGTTTTTTTTTCCCCTTGTGTTTTATCTTTCCCTAGTTTAGGTATTAGGATCATATTTGTCTCATAAAAGGACTTTGGTAGAGATGTTTTCTCTATTTTTTAGAGTAATTTGGGTTCTTTAATGCTTTATTAATTTTTTTGGGGGGGGCTACGCAATGGGGTTAAGTGACTTGCCCAGGGTCATACAGCTAGTAAGTGTCAAGTGTCTGAGGCCAGATTTGAACTCAGGTCCTCCTGACTCCAGGGCTGGTGCTCTACCCACTGCACCACCGAGCTGCCCCAATGTTTATTTTGTTAAATAATTTCCCCATTACATTTTTAAAATTCTAAGCTTAAGAAATAAAACAAGCATTTCCATAACAAAGTAGAACAGGAAAAAAAATAGGATTGCACATGAAACTGCAAATCTATTATGCACTACTTGCTTTTCCTTTTAAATATATAGTAAAGTTATCATGTAACTTTCTTTTTTTCCCCTTCCCTCTCCCCCACCCTAGAGACAGCTACCATTAAACACACACACACACACACACACACACACACACACACACACACACACA